TACAAACTAATGCATTACAAAGCGATGCATTACAAACCAACGGAGTAACGGCGCAGCAGGCGGACTGCCTCATGGAGGGAGCGACCAGCCGGGGGGTCGCCAAATTGCCCGCTGCACCTCGCAAATTTCTCGCTCGATTTTCCGCCGAAGGTCCCTGCACTGGTACCTTACGATACGCATAAGATCGATGACATAGTTCAGTACATATCTTAACATCACCATTTCGTTGGCCCTAAAGTGGCGATGCAATCTTCTAGTTCTGTTAAAATCATTACATTCCAGCGCTTCCCTATATTTGCTTACCATCCTTTCGACTTTCCTCAAGTACGTACTTATACCTTTTTCAATTTTTTTATTTACTTCGCTGCTCCTGTTCGTTAGTTCAATGTGGTGCATGACTCTTTGCAGCAGGTTCAGCATTTTTTTATTGTCCTTTATCATCTGTTTGTATTCTTGAAGCACCATTGAGGCGTCCTGGTCAGCGTCGTGATGAGCGTCCTGATCAGCGGCCTGATAAGCGGCATGACAAACAGCGTCGGTTTTACTCCTCCTCGTTCTAATTGTGTCCCCATCAGGGATGCTCAAATTTTGGATGTTCATTCCGTGTACGGCGGTACCCTCTGGGGGGACCGCGCCAAAATTTACCTCGCCAAAATTTACTTTTTCCCCGTCCATCTTTTCTTTCTTTTCCTTTTCCCCTGACTGATTCCTTTCGATGCTTTTCACAAACTGGTCGATGATTTTTGTCGACTCGTTGGAACAGTTGCTGCTACTTTTCTGGTGTCTGCTTCGATTCTGCCCGTGTAGAGCCCTGCTTTTCAGATCAACCTTCAGCCTCTTCCGTGAGGAAGTGACTCCAGAGAGGATAACCCCACAGGGGGGGAATTCCCCACATGGATCCCCCCAACGTGGACTCACTCCAGCTTTGGAACAATCTTGGTGTATCTCCTCATATAACTTTTTTCCCCCCAAAAGGGAAAGCCCTTCTGACTGGAACATTCCCCAACTGGCTGCGCGTCCTCCATTGGTGTAATCATCAAAAATGGATGAACGATGCAAGTCCGTACTTTTGAGAAATGCGTGGAGGTAATTCTGAGATCCCCTTTCCTGGGACTCATGTCGATTGAATAAAAAGTTATGCTTCTTCAAATCTTCCTCATTTTCGTAATCCCTGCAAGGGAAGGTGCTCTTCTTAGAGTTCCTCTCCTTTGGAGTGCTACAGCCTCTCTGGGGTTCGCGTCGATGTCCATTTATGGTACCTCCACCTTGAGTGCTCCATGAGGAGATATTCACATAGGGTGGAGCCGTCCTGCAGAAAACACCAAGGTTATAATTCACGTGATGACTTTGTTTATGTCCCTTTTTTATGCCGCTAATAAATTTGTACATTTCTCTTTTTATGTTTTTTTTGTCCCTTTCGCATTTCTCCACTTGGTCTTTTATGTCCAATCTGTGTGAACTTTCGGCATTTTTTACGAAGGGGAGTTTCTCTACGTAACTGTGGCGAACTTCCTGGTGCGAAGTTGACTCCTTCATTCTGTGTAATTTTGCCAAGATGGAGAGATCGGTACCGGAGGGGTTCTCTTATTTTTTATTTTATTACTTTATTTTTTCCCTTCTTCTGTGTGTGTGTGTGCTTTTGTCCCTTTTACACCTCCCATTTACACCCTTTAAAAGGTTGAAGTATCTGCTTACTGTTGTTACTTCTCCCTGTGGTAGCTACTCCTCCGAGGTGCTTCAAACCGCTGACTATTTCATGCGAAGGGGGCTCCCTAGTACTGCTCTAAATTCGGGGGTTTCTTTAACCTTTCGCTCGTAACGCCCCTGATTAGGGTGCAATGACGACCCGGGGGCACTTTTACATGGTGAATGAAGCCATATAGGGGACTTCCCTATGCTTATTATTACTATTTTTTTTTTTGCATTGTTAAAAAGGTGCCCCCCATGAGGCAGCTATTGGGCAAACCGTTCTTTAGCAACATAATCCGCACACTCTTTTTACAGTACACTCCAAATGGGAGTGCTTCGCGCGACCGTGTTGACTTCGCTCAGTTCAGTCCTCAGAGTGAACAGGGTCCCGCTAACCGTGTCGTTGTAACCATCGTTGGGGGGGTACCCCCAATACTGTTACCCCCTTGCGGAAGTCATTTTTTTTTTTTTCTAAATAGCCTTCATTTCTTTAACCCGTAAATGTGTAAAATGATGCGAAATTTACAAATCGAAATTTTTCGCCTGCCCAGAGAAGGAAAAACAAAATGAGGAGAAAGGGTGTGCAGAATAAATCTAACTGCACGGGGGGGTGTCACAGGTGGGTTGGACTAAATATATATATTTTTTTTAGATCACGTTTACCAAAATTGAACGCTGCCTTCGTTTTTTCCACTGCACCATTGCGTGTTTCTTTTTTCACCCCATATGAACAAGTCGCCTCAACCACAAAAATGCGCCAATTCTGCCAATTCGGCCAATTCCACTTTTGCAGATTTGGTTCGCCATAAATTGGCACTCCTCACACTTGAGGTTGCTTTCTGCGCAACTGCGGAAAAAGTCCCTCAGCGGTAAGTAATGCTGTTACGACTATCGCTATAGTTACCTTTTCTTTTACTGCTACTGTTTTTTTTTTCTTTTTTTTTCCCCCCATTTGGTTAATTCCTCACTTGGAAGTGGCATTCATTCCAGTCGCCATTTTTCGATCGCATCACAACTTCCGCTGCAACCCCTCTGTGACGCGCGACTCGTAGAAACCCGAATGCCTCCCTTAGGCCAAACCTTGGAAGGGAGATTGGCTTTCCATTTACACGATAGGATTCTTCACCATTATGAATGAACTATCTCGAAATGAGGAATAAAAAAGTACGTACTTGTGTGGGGGGCGGATGGTAGGTCACCGCAGAACAGAACAGGATAATGGTGGAACTTGCCTTGCAAATAAGGAAACAAAAGCAAGCTTGACTTAAGTGTTGACGAAAAAAAGAAATTTACTTACAAAGTGGTAACCACTTTTGCGTGCATTTTTATTCAATATGAGCGCAGGCCCCGTGAATCTAGCTCCCCTCCTGAATAGGGTATAGAAACGTGCAATTTTAAGGGAACTCCTTCCTGATTTGTAAAGCATTTGGGGAAAGCGTCTTTATTGAAAAAACGGCATACTCATAATTATTCTTGCCACTTAACAGGCCATCACAATCCGTTCTGTTACGTTTAGAGGGACGAAGAAGGCCCCCCTAAATTGCGCTGTCTTCATTAGGTAAAAATAAATTCTTACATTTCTTTCGAAATGAAGCGCGATAATGCAGTTAAATGCCTCTAAAATGGGATACGACAGATTTTTACAAAAGACGCTTAGGATGAAAGAAAGGTATTATAATAGGAGCTAGCCAAGGGGCTACACGAGTTGGGAAAAAAAAAAAAAAAAGAAAAAAAAAATGCACACCTCATGCGCATATGAGAAGGGAAAGTCTAAACATTCAGGTAAAAATTTCAGGAGTTAAACTGTCGTGGGATTCACGCAGGCTTCATGTGGACCTCTTTTTTTTTTTTTTACTTCATTTT